GCTGCCTCACCCACCCCTCCTCATTAGGAAACCCAGCCACTCGGTACTGGGTACTACGGATGCAAGCATGGCTTCAGCTGACTTCCCAAGAAGGGATGCCTGGCAGTCGTCAGAGAGCCAAAGTAGGACCACTTGTGCCTGCTCTAAAAGTACCACCGTTCCCTGGCTACAGGCGGTGGTGCGCTGGGACTATCAGGAGAGCATTTCCTCCTTTTGTCCCTAACCCTAACTGTCAGGTGCACAGAAGAGAGCGAGGCGGGTACAGCTGTGAACACCGGGTACTTAGGAAATGCCTGCATTCCTGCAGTTTACTGCTCATCTCTTCTCTACCTGTTCACATCTCCAGACCAAGGGGAATGTCCTTGGGGCGGGGGGCAGGGGATGAAACCCATATTTACAGTTTCCTAATGGCTGTTTTCAAATTTTGGGGTTGATCCTGTCAGACCCCAGTCAGCTCGCCAAATGACTGCCTTCCCAGATTGCCCTCCATGTGGGGCTTTGTCTAGGGAGCGGGGGCTGCTGTTAGCTTTCCCTGGTACCGTCATCTTCCCTTCCTCTCTCTCTCTCTTTTTCTACTTCCATCAAGTAGCCTTTATGTGTGGATGAAACTATGCCCAACTTTCCTTCGTGGTGAGTAGCCTTCACAGTGGATCAAACTATGCTCACCTGCCCAGGTACAACTCTCTTTTCCACTAGCCGACACCTTGGGTAAATTTCAGTCCACGCAGACTTGCAGACAGCCTGTTTATCGTAATTAGCAAGTCCTGGCAGTGATCTGGGAGAAAGACAAGGCTCTTTACTCCCGTAAATACTTACAGTCTCAGAGCCACGCTGTGCCACCCTGTCCTGTAGGGTTGCTGTGCGTCGGCATCGACTCAGCAGGGATCCACTACAGACAGCAGGTCAGGGTCAGCGGGATGACTGCCTGTAGCACGACCAGCACTGACTGCGGGCACCGGGCTTCCAGGGCTCAGAAAGGACTGATACCAAAGGAATGTGTTCTCCCTAGCACAGGTCATAGGTCTGTGCCTTTTGTAAAAATGGACTAGCCTTTTAGCTAGCCTGCTATGGTCTCTCTCTCTCTTTCTCTCCAAGTACAAGCATAATACAGTTTTGTGGCCAACCCCTTTTCATTTCCACCTCTTGGAGAATAAATCCATCCTGTGTTTCCTGGGTTTGGTGGAGGCGGTAGACAAAGACGGCAAACAAAAAGAAGCAGAGATCTCTCGTGAGCATTTCGGTCTCATATAAGACACCGAGAGCAGGGCATGTGGCTGGGAAATGTCCGGGCAATTTGCCCACAGAGAGGCTTAGTCTAGTCAGGGTTTCAGAAGAGATTTACTTCTATCAAAACTCGTTCCCAACGTACTAGACGAACTAGACAATACTTGAGAGCTCTGTGGAGTTCTCTAAGGCCAAGAGAAGCTTCTCCATTTCCATACCTTTCTCGGGTCGCCGTCAGCTCCTGGACTGCCAGTTGTAAGGTGGGGCGAAAGGGAGCCAGGGACAAGAGAGAGGCTGGTGTACACGATTCTGATGATCCGTGTCGTCCCACACACACCGCCTTGCAAAGCGCAGGTCAAGAGCAGCGAGGGGCTCGGCGAAGTAGAGAGCGCTGATGCTGCTGGAACATAAAGACCAGGTTCCCCATCTCGTTTTTTTGAGCCTGGGAGAGTTAAAAGGAGAGGCGGGGGAGGGGGGTGGGGGTGGGGGGGGCATTGTTACACCCGGATTTGCCGGAACCTCAAAGTTGAAACGCCTTCCTATCGCTGTGTGCCGGCCGAGGAGGGACTGTTTGGGTGCTCGTAAAACAGGATTTCTTTTCTGTGATGGCATGTCTTAGACTTATAATTTATGTTTGCATTTTTTATCTCTTGGGAAGGCAGGGTGTATTCTGCCACCCCCGCAGTTAAACCAGAATGCGGTCTGGGATATTTTTAGGCAGACGCTGCGTTGCAGCTGGCCGTTGAGATAGACCGGCCTTTTTCATTGTGCAGCAACTTGGCACATCTGTACCAAGGACTCGCCGAACTGGCAACTTTGCTCTTTGCAAAATAACCACTCAGAAGACAGTTTTAAGAAAAGTGCTTTAACTAAGGAAACAACTGTTGGCTCGAATTTGGTAATCAAGGAGGTATTTGGCGGCCTTGGGGCGGTTCCCTGCATTTTCTTCTACAATTCTTGGGAAATATTTCTTGGGGTTTCACTTCCTAGGGCATCATAGTGACCCCATAGGGCACAGTCGACCTGCCGCGGTGGGTTTCCGAGGCTATAAACCTTTACAGAAGTAGAAAGCCTCTTCTTCCCACAGCGTGGCTGATGGTTTCTAACTTCAGACCTTGTGGTTCTTAGCAGGCCAGCATGTAACCCAATATGCCACCAAATCCAACCCGTACTCAATGCCCTTGAGTTGATGCCAAGTCATAATGACCCTGTAGGACAGGGTAGCACTGCCTGCGAATTTCCGAGACTGCAAGTGGAAAGCCCCACCCTTCTCCCGAGGAGCAGCTGGTGGTATGGAACTGTGGGTCTCGTGGTTAGCAACCCAGCTCGTAACCACTCTACGCCACTAGGGTAAGGTGACCAGATTTTAACATTGGTAAAGTGGGACAAAAGTGGGACACCATTGATAAAACTCATATCCTGGCAAAATAGCCACATGGCAGCCGAAAACCGTATACCCTAGCTTGTCGTGCATTCTTTCCCAAAATCAGGACTTTTTAAAAACGCCGTGGGACAAATTGTTAAAAATCAGGACTGTCCCGCCAAAAGCAGGACGTCTGGTAACCTTACACTAGGGCTCCCAGTGTTCGACATTCCAGGAACCCCGTGACTGGGCCGGGGGTGAACTTAGGTGAGAGCTTTAGGGAATGACACCAGAGTGACACGAGGGAGCATGCATGGATGGGGACATTTGGGCTTGTTCACCTGGTGGACCTGGGCAAGCCGAAGCGCTCCTTGCTGCCCACTCTGCCCAGGCCATTTGCTCTGCTTGTCCTTAGAACTGGCCAGCTGACGTAGGACCTTGCTGTGGGGGTTTGCTACAGCTGCTTTGACATAGCAGGAGCCCTGGTGGCTGAGTGTTTACACATTGGGCTGTGATCCCAAAGGCCAGCAGTTACAAGCCACCAGCTTGAGAAAGAAAAAGGCGGGGCTCTCTAGCCCTGTAAGGGGATGCCACAGGGGCAGTTCTGCCCTCTCCTGTAGAGTTGCTATGAGTCGGCATGGCAGTGAATTTGGTTTGGTTTTCTTTGACACAAGGTCAAGGGCTGGTAGTGCCGAACCCCAACACTGATGTACAGACCGCGAATGAAGGTCCACGGGGAATTAACTTCCCGCCACTGGATTCCCGTCACGTCGCAGCCACGGTAGATGCAGGAAGAAAATGACAGGACTTGGTGTTTCAACTCTATAGCTGTTAAAGCCAACTGTTATCTTAAATGCACTGAATAATGAAGCCAGTTTTAGATTTCAATGCTTGTTGACTTGTTTTCTTTTAGGACTTTAAAGGCTATTGATTTGCCTTTAACTAGAGAGTTAAACTTTTTATATGTGGACATGAATTTATCTTAAATTTCACAGAAATGTATACATATTTCTGTGTGTAGACAGTGAGTGACGTCAAATTAAATATGAGTATGTAAGAAGCCGTGGACCAGTGGTAGTGCAGTGGTTACGCGCTGGGCTGCAATCCACATGGTAAGCAGTTCAAAACCACCAGCAGCTCCATGGGAGAAAGACTGTACTTTCCACTGTCGTCAACAGTTACAGTCTCGGAAACCCACAGAGGGTTGTTATGAGTCAGCATTGACTCGATGGCTGTGAGAAGGAGCCCTCGTGGTGGCCTGGTTTGAAACCACCGCCCCTCTGCCAGAGAAAGATGAGGCTTTCGACTCCTTTACAGAATTACCGGCTCAGAACGGTAATTTCTGCCCTGCCCAGTGGGGCCGCCATGAGTCCGAATTTAATTCGACTTTGGTTTTTATGTATCAGCTAAAGCATCTAAACTTTACAACCTCCACAACCGAAAACGCCCTTGCGTTTCTTGGCTAGTTCCACCTGGTGCCTTGGTGGTTGAAGCGCGGCCAGTAGCAGAATCCTCTCGCGCCTGACCTCTAGTCCAATGGCGTCCCTTTGCTTTAAAGTCCACTAATGGTTGCGTTTGGAAGGTCAGCAATTTAAATCCACCAGCCACTCGTGGAACAGATGCGCGGCGATCTGCTCCACTAAAGATTTACAGCTTAGGAAGCCCTGTATCGGGTCGCCGTCTAGCAGAAGCGACCCGATGGCATTGAGTCCTGTCTTTATTCTTCAGTTTTTCAGTTTTTATCCTTCAGCTTTGATGCGGACGAGTGCCTTAGAAATTATTAATTGACCGTTTTGAAAGGCAAACCTTCTGAAGTACATTTTCATTAACCGTAGCTCCACAACCAGGAAGCATTTCTGCTTTAAGAAGGGCTAAAGAATCAGAGGTGTGTGTAGAAGTAGAACTCATAGATGTTATCTGCCTCTGATATGGCAGAAGATAGCTAAGATGTGAGAGTTGATAGCTTCCTAGCTCTGGCCCTCTGCGTTCCTAGCCAGGCCGGTCCTGCATCCGCGTCCAGCCTGGGGAAGCCACTCTGTGGTGGGCACAGCCCATCCTTGGCCAGAGCAGCACTGAGGCCAGAAAGGGCTGGAGGGGAAATGTGCTTTCGGTTCGGTGTAAACCCTTTTTGTTGACATCCTCAGAGGTCACCCTGGTGTGTGCTGAGAGACCAGGTTTGGAAACAGTCTGACAGCATTAAACGTGAATGCTGGATACTTGTCCAGAACCCAGCCTTTTGATAGCCTTAAAACTCAAGGGCCGGGAGTTGGGGAGCAAACATGGTTGTAATTTTAAGTAAGCGTTCCATTATAAGTCGAAAGCATTTTTATATCAGTAACCATAGTTACTGAGCAGTAGCCCTGCGGTTCTAGAAAACTGGGCCTCATCCTTTCCCAAAAGACTGAGGAGGAGGTGGGGCAGGGCTTCCCCACACAGAGCGCCTGCTCCTGGAAGGGCTCTTACCAGGCGCCCTGGAGGGGCTGACAGTTAAGAGTGAAGCTGCTAACCGAAAGGTCGGTGGTTCGAACCCACAGCCGCTCCTTGGGAGAAAGACGAGACAGCAGTCTGCTTCCGTCAAGACCTGCCCCCTCAGAAACCCTCCGGAGCAGTTTTTCTCTGTCCTCCAGGAGAGCGGGCCAGTTCTGCTCAGTTATGGGCCTGCTGTGAGTGGACATCGGCTCAGCGGCAGTGAGTTTGTTTGGGGTTTGTTTAGTTAACGGTCACGCGCAGTGGGAATCCACTGAGTGGAACTGTGTTTGTTTGTGAATGGAGACCGACCAGGGAGAGAGCGTTCGTGGACAGATTCTCTGTTCTCGTGATTAAGGAAGCCGGGAGGCCAGCATTCTGGGTGGAGGGAGTCCCAGTCACATTCTCCTAATCAAAAATCATCTTCACAATATCCTCCCTTAATAACGCTCCCTTCGTGGTCCCTCTTACTAGCACATGGCTGGTCCCTGTCCAGCCAGCGGCCCTTATCCATAGGGACAGACCTGTTGTATTGTTCTCCCCAGTCAGGGGACAGTCATTCCATGCTACCTGCCCCACCCCCACCCACCTACCCCCATGATGAGCTCAGGGACCTCCAGGGTTAAGACACTGCCCACCTTGTTACGGGTGTAGGTGTCTGTGTTTGGAGCCCTTGCCTGCCCCAAGACTATGAGTTGGTGAAAGAATACATTCTCTCTCTCCCACTTGGACCTGGAGGAGGTGAGCACCTAAAAACTTCCCTCTGCCTTTTATTTTATTTTTTTCCCTCAGTGACACTACCTTTCTTGTGCACGTATCCCCGTGAAGCGCCGTGACTTCATCTGTGGAACAAGGCAGGGAACAGTCTCCTACCAGACCTGTCTGAGCGGTTTGATCTCCTGATCATTCCGGCATCCCGACAGCTGTCCCTGGGATGCTGGAGTAATTTCCCTCCCTTTTCTCCCTGGAGCCTGCCCGCTCCTCTGGGACAGTTTGCAGTTGTCCTGGAAAACTCCGTGGCGCTGCAGGCACTGCAGGTGGATTCCATCCATCCAGCAGATTCAGCAGCGTCTGTGCCCGGAATATGCCGTGTCCTAATTGACTCCCTTCTGGAGCATTCCAGAATGCTCTGGTCCCGGGGGTCCACGTGTCTGCTCGCTGTGTTGTACCTTCAGAAACACGCTGCATCAAACACGCGAGCGCTGCCTGTTCTCTGCCCACTCACGTTCACGCCTATCTGCGTGCCGACACTGGGGCTCATCAGGCGTGGTCAGTGGCCGTCCAGGCGTGCAGCTGCAGCCTGGTTTCAGTGAGTGACCGCGGCCTGCCGCCTGGCACAGATGACACCCGATATCCCGTTCCTGAAATGCCTCCTCTCAGCGTTTGATCTGACTGCCCACCGCCTCCCCCCAATGACCGATGTGTGCTTGCCCCGCAGGTAGACGTGGGCCTAGTGCACTTCGTTCCCCTGGTCCGGCCCACCATCCAGCAGCCCTTCGACCTGGTGGAGAAAGTGGTCCAGCACGTGTTTCACTTCCGAAGGAAGTACTGCTACCGCGGCCTGGGGTAAGAGCACTTTCCCTCCCCCCAGGAACAGGCTCTGTCCCACCCCCAACCTCTTCCCACGATGACACCCTCTCCTTGAAGCTCTCCTGGGGGTGCACACGGCAGGCCCTTGGCCGGTCACCAAACGGTGAGCAGGTCAATCCACCCAGAGGCCCCATGGGAGAAGAGAGTCTCCTTTCCCGGGGACAACCCTGAGAGTCCCGAGGACTGCCCTCCCTGTCACTGCCAGGTCCCCTGAGCCTCAGGGCAACCACCACGGCATCAACATTGACCATCTGTGATGGTGGCCCGTGGTTTAAGTCCGGGAGTGAAGGAAGCTGGGTGGCCCCTGAGCAAAAAACAACCTTCACTTAACCTCGGGCACTGAGGTTGACACTTTGTCGTAACTACAGCAGCCTACAACCGAGGCTTGCACAGTGAGCGACGACCCCGCTGGGGCTGGGGTGGCCCTGGCTCCTCGGTCAGATTCCGATCTCTAAGCAGGGTTTTCCACACGCTTTCTTTCTCATGAGCGGCTGTCCCGTGGTTGAGAGCACACTGGTGCCAGCGGGAGGCAGCGGGAGCGGCGCCTGAGCCGTACAGTGCCGCCTCGCAGTCTTCACGTAACACCCCACACTCTGCCATCGCGGGGCGTCCGACTCCTCTGGACCCTCGAGGACAGAGTAGGATGCCCCTGGTTTCCATGACGGTACCTCTTCCCAGAAGTTCCTCCCTCGGAGCAGCTGGTGGTTTCAAACTGCTGACCTCGCTGCTAGCAGCCCCACTGGTGTGAAGCACTTAGCAGGGGCGTGCGGCCACCAGCCAGAAAATGAGCCCCCCAGTCGCTTGGAGCCCACCATTCTGCCGTGAGCTAAGGTGGCCACGGTGATCTTTCATATCCAGTGACAATCGGTTGTGATTCATAGGGACCTTCTGTCCAACAGAAGGCATCGCTGCCCCCCGCCCCCCCGTACCACCCTCCTCATGGCAGGTCGGAGGGCATCCACCGCGGGGGCTTCTCTTCAGCTGCCCTTCTCTTTGACCAAGCAGACTGTCCTTGTCCAGGGGCTGGTGGCTCCAGGTAACACACGCAGGGCAGGTGAAGCAAGGTCTCGCTATCCAGGACTCCCGTTTGGGTTCTGTTTCTTCCCAGGGCGGTGTTTGTTTTTCTGGCAGTCTGCTGTATTCTGTACTCTTCACCAACATCATAACGCACACCACCGATGCTGTCTCCCTGGCTCACTGTCCACCTCAGCGCCCTTCCGGAGGGACAGAAAAATCACGTCCAGTAGCTCAGGCCGACCTCAGTCCTCCCGATTCGCACACTGGCTACAACAGTGGGCTCAAACACAATGTAAGGATGGCTGCATGTTTCATTGTAACGCTTTCCTTTGCTCCATCCACCCTCTGAAGTACTGTCTTCAGCTCTCCTATCACCGTTTCTCCCCTTCAGTGTAGCTGGTCTGTGTTCCAGCCTGTGTTCAGCGTCTCCTCCGACATTGGGTCCTTTCTTGGCTGTCTTTAATGCCCTCTGCTTTCTTTATATGTGATGCCCTGAATGACCCCACGCCTTAACTGGTTTGTGGTCATTAATGTGAACTGTGTCGGATTATGGCCTCTAAACTCAGGTGGAATATACTCAAGGTCATACTTTGGCTCTTGTGGACGTAATGTTCATCAGCTGAACTTGAACAAAACCATACGACCAACTGCTTACTAAGGACTTCAGGCTAGATCTTCAAATATTCTTTTGCCAATGTGTTCAACAATGTCCTTCCTAAATTTGTCATTCCTGGCATAATGGGCCATTTCAGCTCCCGAATACCCCTCACTCAAAAAACACAGTTATTAGTTAATTAAACTAATGATCACCGTATAGAACAGTAGAACTGCCCTTTGGGCTTCTGAGACCTTAAGTCTTTTCAGGAGTAGATTGCCTCATCTTCCTCCTTCAGGGCAGCTGGTAGGTTTGAACAGCTGACATTGGGGTTAGCAGCTCAGCAATACCCCACTATGCCACCAGAGCTTCTTTTAATGCCTTGGGTCTCTATGTGCAAGCGTTCCGTTTGACGTTTGACAACCTCCAACTTTCCTACACTCATACTTCGTTCCCCATTGTGGGTGTCCATGGTTACTTGCAGCTGCTACTTCCCATGTTGGGTCATGCCCATCAGCCAACGAAGGCCCTGGCAGCTGTACTCCACCCACGCCTTGAAGGCGGTTCTGCTTGGAGGCAGCAGCTCTTCCCTGGTCACACGGCCATATTTTGAGTGGCTTCCAACCCGACAGAAGCGGCGCCCATAAAAATTCATGGCCTCCATAGAAACCCACAGGGTCAGTTCTACGCTGTCCTCTAGGGGCACTTGCAGTCAGAATCGACTCAAGGACAATGAGCTTGTTTGGGTTTAGTACTAGCCTGGACAGGTCTGACTTCTCATAGCTGCAAGCTCTGGGTGGCCCTGTGGGTATCTGCGATCCCAGTCGCAGAGTTCCCACACAGCAACGTCAGCCACTGCAGTACAGGAAACGGATGGATGAGTGGTGGGGAAGAGGTTTGACTAGACCCAGGTACACTTGCTTCAGGAGGTGGAAGATGTGCTTTGAGGTTTCTCCCCAATGTGCTCAACATTGCAGCCATTTGATGGGGCTGTTTAAGAGGCACACATGCCTGTGGTCTCAAACCCCCTCCTCTTTCTAGCCCTGTGATGTGTCCCCTTAGCATGTGGAGTTACATCCAGAGGGGCTTAAGTCAGTACCATCCATAAAAACAACCTTCGGGACCTCCGGTGGCTCAGTGCGTTCACACTGTACTGGGTAATGGCTGCTTCTCTAGCAGCGACGGAAGGTGTGGTGTTGCCTCACTCACCATCACTGGGCAAGTTAGGAAAAAGGCCCGTTGTTCTGCAGGTGGGACCCCAGGTGGACTTGGTTTGGTTTGAGCCCAGCACTGGCCTTGGTGCTCTCCAGGCCCACCGCCCCCTGGGCGGATATGGGCCCACTTTGACCTCTGTTGCCTTCAGATGCTACCAATAGGAGCCAAATGTTAGGCAGCAGTCAGGCCCTCCATGCCAGGAAACTGAGCCCAGGTGTCTGAAGGGCGGAGGCACGCCCCTCCCTGCGAGAGCACGCCAGCCTGCAGGAGCAACTTGGTCCCCCTTAAACCCTGTGAGGTGAGCACTGCAGCCCTTCTGGGACCGGACAGAAGACAGTACCAGTGGCTTTTTAATGCCAGCCAGTCAGACCATCAGTCATTGCCAGCCAGTCGACCCGCGGAGGGGGATGAAATGAGAAGCCCATGCCGTGAACTCAAGACTATTCATACAAAAAGGCTGCAGAGTCTCATACAGAGAATAGCTGTATTTCCACATCAGCTGCTTTTCCCCCGTGCCAAGAAAAGGCCACCTCCTGGGCTGACCAGTTCTGAAGGCTGCTCCGTTCAAGTTTAGAGCCTTGAGACTATTAGTTATTCCACGCAAGAAAGAACGCAGACGAGCGAGCGGCCGGTCAAACTCCTCTGCTTAAAACCTGCCTTCAAGTTCCCCGCCCTGGTTTAGCTGTGGGACGCGCGAGGTCCCCCTGCAGGCCAGGCTCCTCGGTGCTGTCTCTCAGGCCACAGGCAGGGGAGGCTCCAAGGGCCTCTGCCACCCCCAGCCAGAAGTAGTCCTGAGTGTGCCCCATTTCAAGTGTGGGGAGAAAGGGGTTCATGACTGAACATTCCTTCAATACAATGCCTTCTCCCCCACCCCCTTCAGAATGTTGTTTCCTGAAGATCGGCGCTTAGAGAGCACTGGAAGGCTGTTGCAGCTGGCTGATGTGGAGCCCACGCTCCGGCCCTGCCAGCTGTCCCTCGCCCACTTCAGAAGCCTCTGTGACGTGTACCGAGGAATGTGTGATGGAGACCCGCAGCTCTTCGCCTATAACTTCCGAGAAGAACTCAAGCAGAATAAAAGCCGAAGCCGGGAGGCACGGGAGGCCCAGGAGCTTTGAGGCTTTCACAGGTTTAGCTGCTGGCCTTCGACTGTGGACACAGCTAGTGTGACCCAGGGCTGGGCTGCCCGGGGGTGTACTCTGGGGTCTTGTACTGAATGATAATAAAAATACCAGTGGCCGGGGATGGCTTCTTTTCCGTTTACTCTACAGCTTGGTAGAGAAAATAAATATAATCCACTAAGGTACAGTACAAGCTTTCTTTTAATATATACTGCATAGGTATTGGCAGGTTTCGTAGAAGTGGCATCTGTCGCCACCATACAAAAACGGAAAGCTCTCCACAGTGTGTCCCTAAATCACGTGACAGTATCGTGGATATGCTTTACAGAAAGCCAAAGCCCACCAGCTCAGAGAAAATGCCCAGAGGGATGGGGGTTGGGGGAGACCTTTTCAGAAGCGGACCCATCACAGGCCCCTTCCCCCCACACCCCTTTGCTGTTTCCACATAACTTAAAATAATTAGAATGCAATTTTATTTTAAGGATTCAAAATCATTTTGATACCTGCTCAAAAAGGATATAAACTAGCTCGTGTAGAGATTCCGACCAGTTTCATTTTGTTTCCTGCTCCATAATAAATTAAAATAACTTAAATCTTTACAATGACAACGGTGTGGGGAAGCGCACACTGCCCCAAACCCAGGAGTGGATCCTGGGCAGTGGCCACCTTGCCGCCAGTTCAAGAGGACATGCGGACCCAGGCGGCTCTACGCTTTCCCATGACTCTCCGCTTCGTAAAAGCACTCCTCATTGACCACCGATGCCAGCGTCTGCACCCTGAACTCTCGCTCCAGCACGGCGTTGAAGTCCACGTGAGAGCCTTCAGACTGACTGTCAAGGGACTGGTGGTGGAACTGAGACTTCAGCAATGTGCCCCGCTCCCTCTTGGTGCTGTTGGCTTTGCGTTTGATGGCGCAGAAGTGCCCCCGGACCAGCTTGGGGTGCTCTCCTCCCTCCTGGCCCTCGGGCCCCGGGGTGCCAGGCAGCGGCCCTGCCGGGTGGGCATTGGATTCCTCAGAGATGCTCAGTCTCTGGAACTGAATCTCGATGTCCTTGGTTGGGCTGCCCGGCTTCAGGGTGGAGGGGTAGTCACGCTCCTCGTCGTCATCGTCACTCAGAATGTCGCTCTCTTTGATGAGACTGTCGGAAAGCTCCGACAAGCTCGGGGGAGGGTACTTGGCCGGCGACGTGCTCTGGGAGTCCTGCCTGCTCTCGGCCGTCTGGCAGCCACTGCTCTGCGTGCTGCTGCCCTCGTCCGAGTCCAGCGATGTGCCCTTGCCCGGCTCGCCCGGACACTCGCTGCTGGAGGAGTTCTTGAGCACTCTCAAGGATCTGGATGACGCTGGGGGAGACAAAAGGCAGTGATGACCAGAAGCAGATTCAGAACCTAGCCCTCCGCTGCCAGTGGGATCACAGCTCATGGCAGTGCCAGGGTTCGGGAGCAGAACTGCCCGCAGCTTTGTTCGCTCCGTAGCTTTGGGTTGACTGGCACATTGAGCAGCGAGGAGGCTACTGGGAGGACTAAGATGCCCTGGTCTCAAGCCATGGTATTTCCCATTGCCTGGTGCACATGTGGAAAACGGATACTGAGTAAGAAAAGGGCCCAAGAAGAATCGGGGGTGGATCTGTGAGGCTGGAGACAATACGAAAGTCCCCTGGACCTCCGATGGGACAAACAATAGACATCTGTCTTGGAAGCCCGCAGCCTTCATGAGCTTTTACGGAACATGCTCACCTAATTTGGCTGAAACCGGCACCCGGTTCTTCAGCGGCACCAGGCGGTCCTTGCAGCCCTTCTCCAGGGGAAGGTCACACTTGATGTGGCGCCGGAAGTTCTCCCGCAGGATGGACCGGATCACCTTCACCATGCTGGTCTTGCTCTCACAGTCACTGCCCAGAGACAAGGGCAGCCGTTTCCAGATGCCCCCGGCTCCACCCACCTGGTCCTCTTGTGACCCCAAGGTCAGGGCTGTCTCACAGGAGTCCTGGGCCTGGTCACAAGCCAAGCCACCCGATCCCACCCTGCCTTAGTTTCCTGGCTTAAAAACTCACTGCCACTGAGCCAGTGCCAATTCATGGCGACCCTACAGGACCATGTAGAGCTGCCCCTGTGAGTTTCTGAGACTGTCACTCTTAATGGAAGCAGAAAGCCTCATCTTTCTCCCAAGGAGCTGCTGGGGGTTTCGAACTGCTGACCTTGCGGATTGCAGGCCAGTTGTAACCACTCCGCCACCAGGGTGCCTTCACTTAGAAAAGGAAGTGGAAACTGACCGTAGCGGAGGTCTTTCAAGCTCTGTGGTTTGGACACACATTTAATCATAGCATTTTCCTCGCCTTCCACCAGAGCCAGCTTTGGGGGTAGAGGGGCCAGGTGACCCTGACCCATCAAAACTGAGAAGGGCGTTAGAACAAGCCCCTCCTTTCAGAGGACATGGTTCTGTCTTGCTTTTGCCTTGGCATGTCGTCGGCAGTTACCTGCAGCACAGCTGGAAGGTGGTTTCTGGCCGCCCCTCTACTTCCGACTTGGTGTGGATCAGCTCCCAAAGGGAATTGTTCTCCGTCCCTGGGTCAGAGGAAAGGGAATAGCTTCACCAGAGGTGCTGGCTGTGGCTGAAAGGCCCCGGAGCCTCACACTTGGGTGGCCTCTGGACGAGGGAGGTATTCTCACTGCTGCCTCTCCTCGCGTCCCTCCCTGGCTGTGGCAGAAGGTCTTCAAGAAGTGCATGGGGAAACGGAATGAAGAGCTAATGGCAGGCCCCTGGTGTGTGCGAGGGTCACGCAGGGTTAAATGCCTTTAGCTACCTTCGGTATTTCTACCTTAGCCTGCTCTCTTCCTATCCTGGAGTCCATCTTTGGGAAAGAGCTTCCGTGGGCCCCATCAGCCAACCCTCCCTGGGGTCTTACCCGTTCCCTAGAAGGAACGGGGATTTGCTCATGGGGTGGAGCAAGGAAGGCAGCCCCCAATCCAGCCATGTTCCTGGAAGCGTACGTGCTACAGACAGAAGCGAACAAGGACCCAGAACAGGACTGCTTGCCATCCTTAGCCTCTTGGCTCCTTCTGTCTCCCGGGACCTGGTCCCAGAACATGGTGATTCCGGGACGATCTCTGCACATTTCCCAGGACCAAAAATTCCTCTTCTTTTTATACCACTTGAAATACTGCCAGATCTCAAGGAGCTCTCTGGTTTATCTAAATGTGTAAGAAGTTCCCTGGTGCGCCTCTGTGCCCTTAGCAACTTCAAGGACGTGAGGCAGAGGGGGAAACGCTGGAAACACTCGGGGAAATAAGGAAGCAGCCAAGAGAGACGCTCTGCCAAGAAGAGCCATCGATTTCGGTCTCTCCAGAACTCTGGAGAAGAACATCGAAGCCGCCTCCCTCGTCTGTCCGAGAAACCAACCACTGCCATCGAGTCAAGTGTGACTCACGGCGACCCCAGGGGACAGGGTAGACCCGCCCCTGGGTTTCTGAGGCTCAGACTCTGCCTGAGCGGAAAGCCTCATCTTCCTCCCAAGAGCAGCTGGTGGTTTCGAACTGCTGACCCCAAATCACCCCCGTGAGCCTTTCCGACTTTTTCATTCCACCGTGTACCTCTAGGTCTCTCAGGGTGGCCGCGCTGATCTGCAGGGACAGGAAAGTTACCTGCTGTGTTCCCCAGCCTGACTTGAAGCGCCGATATGGGGATCAGCCAGCGGAATTTGAAGGGGTCCAAGTCAGCAGAGCCGTGTGCAGGCCGGGAGTTGGAGGGCTGAAATAAGAAGGCCGACCCAGAGCAGAGTTAGCGTTCTCCCCTGGGATGGAGGTCTGTTTGTTGAGCCCCTAAGCTCCTGGCTGTACCAGGGTCCTAGCAGCTGTGTGCTCACGGACCGGTGAACCCATCGGTACCTGGTCCATCCAGGGCTGTGCTCACAGCCTATGGAGAAGCCAGAGGCAGGTCTGGGGAAGGAGGCCCCAGGTGTCCAAGCAAGAGTGGCAGTAGCCCTTGCGGTAGCCTGCACGGTAAGGATGGCTTAGAGCAGGGTCGGCAGACTGCGGCTCTTGCCCCTGCGGCTGTTTCAGTACGTGCAGGTGGCTCTGCAGTAAAACCGCAAGCTTTTATAGGATATAACTCAGATACTGTGGACTTCATTTGTTTGTAAAAATACGTGTGTGGCTCTGGATAAGCTTTAAATTGTTGAGGGGCAGAACTGCCTCTTCCACCTAAAAAGTTTGCCGACCCCTGGCTTGGAGCACAGCTTCCCAAAGGTCTTTGTAGCACAGCCCACCAGCCAGGCTGACGTCGAAACCTAAACTCCCAAACCCACTGCCAAGACAGTCGACGCTGATGCATAGCGACCCTGTGGGTTTCTGAGACCATAACTGTTTACAGGAGTAGAGAGCCTGTCTACTCCTGTAGAAAGTGTTTCTCCCGAGGAACTGTTGGTGGTTTTGAGCTGCTGACCATGCAACGGCAGCCCAACTCGTAACCACTACACCACCAGAGTTAAAGTATAGGCAGCTGCTTTTGCAGGCCCACCCCCACCCCACCCCCACCCCCACTCCCGACAGGTCTGACCACCAGAGGATGCTGTCACCACCCACTTTGGTAACCACTGGCTTGGAGCATCCACAGCTGAGCTATGTGTTTGTATGAGTGTCTCTGATAACAGGCATTTGAAGCCAACCAAAGTTACACAGACAGGTGTAAGCACGGGCCATTCCCAGAGACGTGGAGGCTGACTTTCTGCGCAGGCACCAGCGGCCTGTCTGCATCTTATTTTACACTGACGTCCTCTGTGGGCCAATCAGGCGGGCCTCCGGTGTGCGGTTTGCTTGTTACCCTGGGGGGAGTCCTGGACAAGGAGCAGGCTGCCCCATCCCCCCACCCTGCGCAGGAAGCGAGGGTCAGGAAAAGGCAGCATTCATGGAGACTGGCTCATGTCTTACCAGCTTCTTTTTCAGCTTGCAGTTTTCTTTATACACCAGGATGACAGCTCGCTTAAAGACTAAAGAAAGGCAGAGAGAAAGAAAAGGGCTGTCATTTCCTCCCAGCTCCACTGAGGCTGCCCTAGCACTGAGCGTTTTAACAGAACAAAGCCATGACTCAGAGATCTCACGATGCCAACCCGTGAACCAATGCCTACATGGCAGTGCCCTCTGTTCCCCTGTCGGTGATGCAGAAGTACCTGCTCAGTGAACAGGCACGACAGACGAGGACCCTGACACCTTAACCTGATCCTCATTCTAGTTCATTGAGAGCCAAGTTCACCTCTCCTTCCTTGACTCCAGCAAAGGATGGAGATGGCAGATGTCGAAACAGCCTCGGGGGATCTGGTCCCGAACCACTTGGCAGGCAGCAGCGCCTGGCTGGGAGAGCAGGCTAAGTGCGAGCCCAGGAGTTTTAAATAGCTGAGGCTGGCGGGGCAAAGTCACAAGTCATCACAGCAACTCCTTCGGCTGCTTCTGGAGAGGCGGGCTGAGGAGCAGGGCTGAATTCTCTGGGAAGCCAAGCCCTCACCCTGAGACTTCTGAGGCTTTGGCCCTGAGAGGACTGGCTACTAAGAGACTCTCTGGGGTCTAACAGTGGGCCAGACCAAGGGCCGGCACACTGTGGCACCACAGCCATATGTGGCTCTGAAGAAGAATTGGAAAATTTTAAAGGTTGTTATTCGGGTAATAGGGATTTAATTTGTTTGCTAAGAATACAGCTATCTATGGGTCTTGAATAACTTCTAAATTGTTGTGACGGACAGGATTGACTCTTCCATCTCAAAAGTTTGCCGACCCCTGCTCTGGACAGACCAGTAAAGACTGGTTCACCCTGTGCACTCGGCAGTCAGGGATCAGCCGAGGAGCTGTTTTAGGGCAGACTGTTCTGATGTAAACACTGCGCCCTGGCCCCGTCCCTGCGCGGACGCAGGTAAGATAGGGTACGAAAATGGCACTGTCGCTAAGATCCAGTAGGCGTTCTTCCCTCTGTGGGGCGTTTTTGACCCCCTGATTGAAATGGCACCCCTGTTTTATATTAACGAAACCTCAAGGTAGTTCCATGACTGGTCTACTACGGTGTCCATTCTAACAGGAGCTGGCTGGGCTGGCGGGTTCAGGGAAGCCCTTTCTTTATTCCCAGCCTCCTGTCCTCCTTTCTGGTTCTGCTTAGGGAAGAAGGAAAGGTCCCCTCCTTTGGACTGAAATACTAACCAAACACGGTGAGCTCCAGGTCCTTCCTGGCTTTTCCGAGAGACAGAAATGGGTTCAGCCAGGACACTGAGGAGTGCACCAGCAGCTCCCCCATGGAAAGCTCCGTCACCTGCAGGGTGGGAGACAGGAGATGAAGACTGCCCGCACACCCCGACTCCACCCCAGTAGGAGAGGTCACTGCTCAATGCAAGTGCATTCCGTTGGGTGTTCATAGGGCCTCACGTAGCGCCAGGCATCGGATGGTTCGAAAAACATGACTGTGTACAAACGTGGATGGATTGTGATAAGAATTGTACGAGCCCCCAATAAAATGATTTAAAAAAAAAAAGAAAAACAGCGTGACTAAAACGGCATTGGCTTCAAGCAGACATGTATGAGCGAGGGCCCGGTGTCTTGACATTTAATGCACCGCAGTGGCCCCACTCAGCTTTGTTGGCACTTGCCGCAGGACCTGGTGCAGTAGGCACTTCGAAGCCACAGGCTCCCTTGGGTCGGCTGAGGGCAGATTCACTAACACTGAGACTGAGGGCAGATTCACTAACACTGAGACTGAGGGCAGATTCACTAACACTGAGACTGAGGGCAGATTC